ATGCAAATACAATATCATTATAGAGGTAACTCAATTTACACAGATGTATTACTGAAAGCCAGATGTTCTGTGTGAAAACCAAATTGTTGTGGATCAAATTATGTGTTATATCCTAAGGGAACGTGTTATTTAAACATCTGTGATACTTGCCATGACTTAAAGGATTGGCATTTATAGGCCAACTGGTTACCTACGCTAAGTCTGTGTGCCTGTGTTAGTCAGGGTCATGTTAGGCTGTGCTTTGGGGAGAAAAAGTTTCAGTGACTTAATACAACAAAGATTTATTTCTTGTTCTCATCAGTGTCTGATATCAGTCAGGGACCCAGAGACTCAGAGATTCAGATGATTTCTTCCTTGCAGCTCTAGCATTTCAAAGTCATATGACTAGTATGGTAGTAAGGTGACTGCCTTGAAAATTGCAATGGTTTCAAATACATTGTTTGTACCCTGTGATGACTTTTGTGGATTTTGGAAGCCTTGATGGGACTTTATAGAATAGCTTATTGGATTTCAGAGCTCTAGATACATTATACATTCAGTAATACTTTCTATATACAAAGATAACAATATAATTTATTCTTTATTAAAATAACAATAAAGACAATATCTTAGATAGAACATATTGGTCATCATATTTAGGAACCAGAGAAAGAAAATCTATGAGAAACGATCGTAGACCCTCAAACAGAGTCTTTATCCAACAAATTGCCATTTGTGCTAAACACTGGTCTTACGGTGCTTGCCTTCTAGCTCCCTTTTCCTTGACTTCATAGTAACTGTGATGGTTACTTTTAGGTGACAACTTGACTGGGTTAAAGACACCCAGATTGTTGGTAAGACATTTTTTCTGGGAATGTCTGTGTAGATTGCTCTGAAAAAGATTAGCATTAGAATCAATAGACTGAGTAAAGAAGGTCTGTCTGCCTTTCCCCTATTGGGGAGCTTTATCTAATCAGTTGAGGGGCTCGATAGAACAAAAAGGCAGAGGAAGGGCAGATTCTCCTTTCTGGCACTGGG